AGAAAAAGAGGCGCGAAGTCATAGTGGTGTAAATTGAATGAGTTGGGGGGGGGGGCAAAATGTCCCTGCCCCCGTCTAAAACTGAGAAATCGAGAATTTGTTCAGAAATACAAGAATTTTTTGGGAAAAATATGTTTTGCCCCCTTTAGAAAAAATTCTGGCGACGCCAATGAGTTCACCGGTGTGTACACACAGACTTGTTTCACATACCTAGTGTGGACTTTCCTTTCTTTTCGTGTAGTTAAGGAACACCAGTGGAAAAACTCATTTTTCTCAAACTGTGAAAACTCTTACAACCCAATTTTTTTTCAATGATTCCCTTTAGTGTTTCTCTTCATTCTGCTACAGATAAACCTAACCCAAAAATGCCTCTAAACCTGTTTTCCAGAAATGGGGAAACACTGTGTGGACGTGGGCAAGTCCACACTTCGTCGCTGCTACCTACATTATGTGGACGTCTTTTGTTCGGAAGTCCACACTGCGTATGTAAGACAAGCTCACCAGTGTAGGCACACAATTGAGCTGCCCAGAGTTTGGATATACAATAAGAAAGAAAGAAATTAACTCAGAACCTAGAACTCATTGGCCCACCCACCCCCGGCTCAAGAAACCAACAAGCCGAACAAGACCTCATGATGTTTAGCGATAGCGATGATGAGTTGCCATGTGGACAGTCTTCCACATCATCGCAGAATCAGCCTGCAGGGCAGAAAGAGGAGAGCTTAGAACTGTGCATCTCAACGATAACACTTCTCCTTTGTTTAGTGTCTCTCCCTTACCCCCCCCCTTTTAAAGTAAATTTCTTTCTTTCTTATTCTATATCCAAAGTCTTCGCCTGTGTTACGTTCCTTACATGAAATCCACGACCTAACCTCCTCTGTCGAAAGCGTTGCAACTGTCTAATAGAACGATCCATTTCTCGATTTGTGAGTTATCTTCAACTCAGTCGTGTTTATTGGGAAGGGGCGTAATCATACATGCCGCCACTACATCTAAAATTAAATGGAAAGGAGTATGGCCGCCACCATGAATTGAGAAGTGATTTTATGGCTGAGAAAATAGCAAGGAAAACCGGTCAGTGCAATCAACGTTCAGCGAAGAGTTTTGAAATTCCCGCTCTCTGGGAATTTCTAACCTAATGGGCCCGCGGGCGAGTTACGTGTTGACAAGCCTTACCCACCCACTGCCGCAGCCCTGCAGGAGAGCCTTAATCGACTTCCTATAGATGTGTATGATATACTGAAAAAGAAAAAAAAAATTAACTCATACACTCTGGGCAGCTCACTTTCGTGCCTACACTGGTATACACACCTGTGAAAAAAGGCTCAAATTAACGGAACTCTTCTCTGCATGCTAGTCGGAAGGGGAAAAAAATGTTTTCAAAAATGCATCAGCTCACAGAGCCTCCCGTCTTTGTAATTGTTTGCATCCCACGAAATGTAAAGAAATGAGGAACGGCCCTGATGGTGCCGATAGCGAGTCCCACTCCTTGATAAACTCTGATTCACGGCAGCAACTCTCTTGGAATAATAATTATCCTACAACAAATTAATATCGACGATTTATTTCCTGACCGGTTTTCCTTGGCTTTGCTATTTTCTCAGCCATAAAATCACTTCTCAAAGAATTAAATTCTGTGCTTAATAAGAATTCCTGGTGGCGGCCATTCTCCTTCCCATTTTATTTTTTGATGTAGTAGCGGCATGTATGATTACGCCCCTTCCCAATAAACCCGTGGCACTTTTGCCTTCGCCGTGGCGCTTTTGCTTTCGCCGTGGCGCTTTTGCGCTTGCCGTGGCGCTTTTGCGCTTGCCGCGGCGCTTTTTGTTTTGCCGTGGCGCTTTTTCTTTTGCCGTGGCGCTTTTTGTTTTGCCGTGGCGCTTTTCTTTTGCCGCGGCGCTTTTTGTTTTGCCGTGGCGCTTTTTCTTTTGCCGTGGCGCTTTTGCGCTTGCCGCGGCGCTGTTGCGCTTGCCGCGGCGCTGTTGCGCTTGCCGCGGCGCTTTTGCGCTTGCCGTGGCGCTTTTGCTTTTGCCGTGGCGCTTTTGCTTTTGCCGTGACAGTTGTGGGCCACCGTAACAATCATAATCCCCAAGGTCACACTGTTTCGTGAACTGTATTCAACAACGGCCACGTAGAACGCGTAAACACAACGCCCACAGTTTCAAGCCACTGACCACGCGCAGCATTGACTCGCAGAAAAGCCAGCACAGAGGGCAGACAGGCAATCAACGTGACAGCGCACACCGGCACACCGGCCATTCCTGTGAAAAAAAAACACACGCAGTTACGAAAAATCGACGAAACGGATCGCCCGTCCGGCGTCCGGACGCGAAACTGAGGACGACCTAAAGTCCCCGAACCCGCGGAAGACACTCTTCACATTTTTCCACGAACGTGGAGCGAATTTGGCGAGCCCGGGCTGTCTTGGATCCGTTATTAGTGTACAAACATTCATGGGAGGTTGAGTAAAACTTCCTCTTAAACAGCGACAGAATGAGAACGACGTGATGAACAAATTTAAAGATGTTTTGCGTGGTACCATGGAGCAAGGATTCCTTGCTCCATGGTGGTACTCAGTGTGGCCACTCTGTTTTTTTTATTTTTTTCAAGATCGCATCTAAAAATTTTCAAGATTTTTCAAGCCTATGAAAATTACTAGACCAGCCAACCTGTCCCATTATGCAAAAGTTTTTTTGAAAGGATTGAAGCTCTTTTCAACAAATGTGCCATTTTTTTTCAAATTTGCTTTTAATTTTCTGTCAAAATACTATTTTTGCAGAATCCTGCCAGAAATCTGCCAAAAAATCCATTCTGTCAAATTTTCTGTCAAAGTCTTTTTTTAACAAAAATTCTGTCAAAGTTAGCCGAAAATCGGCTAAAACGGTCACAATGCCCTCTCCCGGAGAGGTCATCTAATGAAGCGCGCGTCATGCAGTGCCTAGAGCCTAAGCTTACATACACTGCAGGGTCTGACCGTATGTATAGCGCGCCAATGCTAAAAGAATTACAAAGTAAAAATAAAAGTCGCTAAAAAGCTCGGGTGTTCAGTGGAAAAAGTTGTCAAAGTTTCTACAAAACATATGGTTTTGTACTTTTAGTGGAAAATTTTCAAGATTTCTTGCTTTTTCATTTTTTTTTTCAAGTTTTCAAGTTGGGTCTCAATTTTTCAAGATCTTGAAATTTTTTTCAAGCAGTGGCCACACTGGTGGTACTTAGTAGCATTATGTTAATGTGGGAAAACTTAACACACCTTCGCGAAGAACATTGTGAGTTTATACCACGGACGGACCATTGATTGTACTTGGTGCACTGTTCACACACAATGTGAACGTGACCTGTTTGCAGGAGTACATAAAGTATCATGTCCTTAATTTGATGGAGTTTTGAAAATATAGCATTGGTGAAGCTTTACCATGACGAAAAAAATATTTGATTTTAATGGAACAAAACTAAATAGGCCTAAGTAAAACAAAAGTACGATCGGACACAATGCGTCGTTGACCATTCGCATTTTTTTTCTTTTTGGCAAAAAAACTTACGGGACGGAGGCCAATATGTGGATTGAAGGATTTGCCGTTATGGGCTTATTTAACACTTTTGAGATCCATATCCCCGTGATCTGTTACACGGTACCCTATGGAGACGTGCACAATAGGGAACAAAAGATTGTATACGTCTCCACAGGGCACTTTCTATAGGTGAATACGTCTCCACAAGGTTATCACGAAATAGATATATGGATTTTACTTAAAAAACTAGGAATTTCCAAGGTGTGTTGATCCGTCGCAAATAGAAGTATTTTATGTAAGGGATATTAATTCCAAATTTCAGCCCAGGAGATTCATTCTGGTTAAAAAAGGAGCATTTTGAAAGTACACTTTCAAACTCGAAAACTTTAGTACACGAGAACAAAGAAATGACTCCACAAGGACACATATGTCATTATGCGTGGACGGGACACACCTGCGCACTGTACTGGTTCGCGCGAGAAGTACGCACCACTTTTTGAATGTGCCCAGCCAGGGCCAAGTTCGGGCAAGGACCATTAGTCGACTAGTGGTTGATTTGTGACGTACCTTACGCCTGCGCACTGATAGCAACGTGCGAACGTCTCTAGTCAAACGCTGGTCAAAATGTCATCGCAAAACTTCTGGATCCTGGCTCTCTGCTAGCGTAATGAATGCGTGCGGCTGTTGGTTACCAGCGAAGCAACCAACCCCAGTAGGCTGGTTCCAAATAGTCGACTAGCGTAGTCAACCATAGTCGACTAGACAGAGTTCGGGCAAACGTTAGTTTACCATTGGTCAACTATAGTCCTTGCGCGAACTTGGCCCAGGATGGCCTCCTATGTGACTAATCCCCGCCCCAATAACTTTGGATCATTCGAAATACGCAGAGGATGGACCCGGAACCATTCTAGGCCTCCATGCACCAACTCATTTGTGGCCGTTGAAGGCGTACTTGTGCACGGAGCCCTATGCAGAAATACTTGGTTATTTTTTATCTTGCTTAGAAAGTGCATACATGCACCCTATTTTGAAACCACCGTCAGTGTTAGTTTCTTCCAAACGATACCATTTGAGGCGAGGTAATTTCATATGGTATTTGACACCAATCAATCTTCACTATGAGCAAGCTCTCAGTCAACATGTATTCGAACTGCAATTATTGTTCTACATGCCTTGAAACTTCCTTTCCATACGACCCAAAGCGCCCGCTGATTGGTCAAAATCTAGGAGGTCAAGAGGCGGGGTCTTGCCTAATTAATCAGCGAATCTGTTCACGCATACCACAGCTTTTGCCGTGGTGTATTACATAGACTATTCGTTAGTGCGTCAGTTCAGTTTAAACCACGCCCACTGGCCATTAAGTTTGCGTTGGAACCATTGGAACCGGAAGCTAACGCAACTGAGTGTTTATCCAATGGGCGCCGCGCGCGTGTACGACGTTTTCGCTAACGAGCTTGATTATGGGATACATGCCTTTCTACAGGGTATAAAAGCATATCATATTCCGCCACTCCTCACTCTGGTGTCTGAAGCTTCCTTACGAGTTTGTGAAATCAAGAGGAGAATGTTTCGCGGGGTAGCTGCTGCTGTCTTGGTGCTGGGACTTGTGGGGTTCCTGACCGCCGACGCCATGAACGAGGTGAGTTGGTTTCTGCTTTCAAGGAAAACAAAGGAACGGTGATCGAAAAGTTGATTTTGCGTAGTGTATTAAAAGAAGATTAATTATGGTCACATAACCAGACCATATTGACCACAACCGTCCGTATTAATTAAAGAAGTTTCACAATCAGACAACTCCCAAGTCTCATTGGCCAAAGAATGCTGGTATCGATTCATTATAACGATTAATTATTCTTTTCTAAAACAAAGTCACAAATCGCAAATTGAATTGGTTTGTCGGAAATGAAAAAGACGAAATTGGACACAGAATGGTGATTCCTTCTATTGTTGTTGTAGCATCGTTGTCATTAACAATTTTCTCTTTCCTGAACGACTTTTTAGAGGCAAAAGTAAAAGTCAATTTTGTTTCATGTATTTTCAAAAATTGTTTTTAACGGAACACTGTGCAATCGACTTGGATTTGGCAAATAGTGATTTCTTTACCTTTAACTTCGTTCAATTCCAGCAAGGTGTCAAATTCGGCTTTTGATTATCAGTCAGTACCTTGACAACCTTTTAATTCTTGGCGGGTTCCTCCTCTTATCTTTTTTCGTAACTTTTGCCTGATCTGCCTGAAAAAATGTTAATTGAAAAGACAAAAAATATAGCTTTTCCCGGCCAATTTCATCCAGTTTTCATTCAATTTAACGCCTGGCTCATTCAGTTTAGATTGAAATTAAAAGATCGCGCAGATCGTCATTCGACAATAAATAAGAATCATTCAATTTTACTATCCGAACATTCTATCGTCTTCATGGGCGTCGCGAGGGGGGGGGGGGCATTTTGTTAAAGAGTTATATGTGTAAGAAGATCGTCATTTTTTTAAACGAAAATCGCTTGTAATTTGGCACCCGATGACGTCATAATTACGTCAGTAATATGCACCACTAAGGATGAGGGTCGATATTTATTGAAAGTTACAAGTTCCTATCATAAACCGCTTAAGAGAAAACCCGCGGAAACGTGCTGTACGGTAAAAAAGAAAAAGAAAAAAAAAAGAAAGATTAATCGTAACAACTCCAAAGAGTGGTCGGGTTGTACCTGACCACTCAAAAAGAAAGAAAAAGAGGCGCGAAGTCATTGTGGTGTAAATTTAATGGGTGGGGGGGGGGCAAAATGTCCCTGCCCCCTCTTAAACTGAATCAAGAGTATATTGAGAAATACAGGAATTTTTGGGGAAAAATATGTTTTGCCCCCCCTCTAGAAAAAAATCCTGGCGACGACAATGATCGTCTTTTAGCTTCACTCGTCCCTGTAAAAGCTGCATTCAACTTAAAAGTATTGTACTCATTTCAATTCAGTAAGGGGTTGATCGGGCATTCATCATCATTAATGGGCAAACATATTTCACATGTATTTTTTAAAGAAATTCCTGAACGTTCGTATTCTTGTAAAAAGGGAGGATGGTTTGCACCATCTTCTGATAGGGGGCACTGTTAAAAGCGAACAATTAATCACGGACATCTTTGCTCTTCATCCCTGCAAAGTTTCCGAAGGACGTACGATTTTTTTCGACAAGCCGATTCCGCCGTCCCGATTTTGCTTGTACAAAGACTAGTCCATTGTAATCTGCCGCTCTGCACTCCCCAACCCCTGGTTACGCCACTATCTTGCACGTCAAGTGATCGATGGGTGAATCAGCGATAAATAATTTTTAAAAAAATACAAAACAGAACGGAAAAGAAGTTAAAGGATTTGTCTAAATTTTAAAACAAGTGTAGAAAAGATCAACAGTGAAAGAGAAATTCCGTAGCCCTTTTCATTTCATTATTTCGCTACATCATTCCTCATATAAACCTTGTTACATTATAAAGTTTTACATTTATTTATAAAGTTTTACAGACACAAAGATTTTGGGGAAAAATGGACCTCAGCAGAAAATATGATCCGATGTGTCGACATCACACAAACTTGAATGGCCAATAATGAAAATGATCAGGGAAATCCTGTGTAAGTGAAAATTCTTTTCCTGTTTACTCGGAAAGGCATACACTTGACTAAAAATACGCGAATATGTATTAGGACTTACTTGCAAACGTGATAATCAATTTAAGGTAAGACATGTACGCTGTGTTTCAATTTCTTCAAGTTGTGTTTTAATTTATTTATTTTGTGCTTAAATGGATTGTATCCCCCAAATACACCGCATACATTTGCCCGGTTTGACAAAGTCCTTAGTGTTGACTCGAAACCATTTCTCTTGAGTTAGGAAAAGTATAAATCAACTTCAAGACCGGGGCTGAAGAAAATGAAAATTTTGTCCTGTATTTAAGGGAATTTCCGCTGCATAAAAAGAAGAAAATGAAAATTTTGTCCTGTATTTAAGGGAATTTCCGCTGCATAAACAAAAAATCTCGTTTTTTTCCCCACTGTAAATTGTGGCTTTCAATACGTGCGAAGCCGAAAAGGTCACTATATAAGGTCAAGTCGTCTTCAGGCTTCTCTTAATTCTCAATTTCATTTTATCACTGTGTTGGGCCAAGAGCCAGGCCTTCATTGGTACACCTCAACCCCCCCCCCCTTCCCATTAAAAAATAAATCACCATTTACAGTTTGCATGCATTACAATACAAAGTGTCGTTCCCTTCAAACATTTTCTGAAGAGAGAAAAACACACCTTGAAATTCTGAAAGATCCTTCAAGGGAGTTTGTATAGCAAGGTGAGCTTGACAAACTTAACAATTCAAAAGATTTGCTCCATTATTTAATTCAAGGATGGTATTACCCCAACGGCCTCAAAATCATTTTAAGTGATCGTGGGAAAGGATTTGTTACACAAACTTGCCAGGGGCGGGCATTCATTCCTGGCGAACGTGACGTTTTAGAGGCTGCAAGAGTGATTAGCCTATTGTTAGCAAGAAAATATTTAAAATCCGTTAACTATTATTGAAAAACCATTATGGTTTATAACAGCAATGCTGCCATGCAGTTAACACAGGGACACCTGAACTAGGCCGGGGGGGGGGGGGGGGTACCATAAAGGGACAAAAACCCACAGGATGTTGCCGTCACTAAACACAATGGGTGCGTTCGACTACTTGAGTGCGTTCGATTACTTCCCCCAGCTTACTCGCGCCTGACTCCTCGCGTAATGACAGACATGCGCAGTGGAGCTAACTAAACGAACGGTTTCGGGTAAAGTTTCGTGCAAGAGCTGGAAACATGGGCGTCGCCAGGATTTTTTTTCTATAGGATGGCAAAACATATATTTCAAAATAATCCTGTTTAATATCTCAACGTATTCTCGATTTATCAGTTTTAAAGGGGGTAGGGACATTTTGCCCCCCCCCATTAAATTTACACCAATATGACTTCTCACCTCTTGCTTTTGCTTTTCTGTGGGGGGGGGGGATGTTGCAACCTGACGCCACTTTTTTTTTCTTCATATATCATCTCAATGAAGGTCATTTATTGCAAAAATAATGATAAGACATGAATCTTGGACTGAGAAATATTTCCATTTTTGTTTGGAAAACAAATTCTTGACTCTCCATAGACCTTGTACACAATTGCGGAAGTGGCACGTCCACGCCCAGTGAAAATACGCAGGGACGCGCTGACAAATCGTAGCCGTAGCTCCGTGCATAGGGTTTGGCTCTATAATGCTCCGTGGAAGCCCGTTTTCGGACACGGCCTGATGAGGCGCCCGCCGGACGTTGCATGGCCTTATGGGATACTTACCAAAGTAACCGGCTCGGCGAGTCGGTTACTTGGGCCAGGCTCGAGTAGGCGCGAGAAGTCACGTCAGAGGTAAATCAAACGCTGTCGCGCTTGCTTCTAGAATTAGAATGCACCTTTCCGTTAGCTAATGGAAAGGTGCCTTTTAACTCTAAAGGTTGTGCCACTGTAACAGTGTCGATTTTTACTACCCAAAACTGTCCACTAGCATTGGCAGCATAGGCTAGCAATCTTCAGTTTTTTTTCATTTTGGGACATGACGGGCATTAGAGTGATTTGTGGGCAAGGTGCATAAATGACATCAGGTAACAAAACAAACCAAAAAAAACAAAGTCTGACCTATACAGGCAAAGATTCAGAACAAATGTATAGGGGTTTAGGTTGTAGCTATAGGGTCCAAAACGAGAAGCATTGGCAGTCTAAGCCACGAACGGACAGTCAGTCATGAGATAAGTATACGGATGACGCGCTGCCCTCTGCGAGCAGCAGAACCCCCCTTGGTAGAACACCAATTATCTTATCAAATTATCTAGACTACAATGTGGCAGTGTCCGAGCCTGGCGTCATGTATACATAAGCCATTAACATAACAAAACTAGATTCCTTTCATTTCTTAAACCAAGAATTGCAAATGATATTTGGTCTCTAAATATTTTCAGGATGAAATGGAGTTGCTTGAACGTATGCTGGAGAGAGCTGAAGAAAAGAAGGTCGCAGGTATATAAACACGTTCATAATTTTATATGATCAAAGAAAAGAATATGGCAATTAAATAAAGTAGATGCGCCAATGTTCTGATTTTGAGGCGAGTGTAATTGCGCGCGCTCGGAAATGCAGGACAGAAAGGTGAAGAGCGCCAGAGTGGTGAAGCGCCGCATCTTTCATTTCTTTCAACCTAGCTGGTAATGAGTTGTCCTCTATCGGTTCAATAATCTTTTCTACCCTTTCTGATTTTGTTGTCAATGAAGGCGGTCAACCTCTCTCCATCGTGGACAAGGTAACATGGCAGAGTTCCACTTTGATGCCATACACATCAGCCAAGGCCGTAGATGGAAGCTCCTCTACCATCATGTATCCCGATACCAAATGTTCCCACACTGGTAAGAGATTTTCGTCTTATAGTTAAATATTTAAAAAAAAAACATAACAAAAAGGAGGTGTCAAATGGTCAAGTAGATCTACAAAAATTCCAATTATTTTTAATTTTAATTATTCCACTGAATGCTATAATAGGGCGACAGATTTTGCCAACTGCGTCCACAATAGGGCGACACACCTTATTAAGGCGACATATAACTGTCGCCCTTTTGTGAAAACGACCCTTAGGACAAGGAATTGTATTGTCGCAAACCATCTAGATCGATTCGTCATGGTCCATTAATTAAAAACACCGAATTTCGTGGAGAAAGGATAAGGTAATATTGCGTTAGGTGACAGTTTATGTGTGTGCACAAGTCTATGGGAAATCGCCCTATTATTATTTTAATAATAATAGGGGGAGCAATAAAATATTAAAATATTTTATTGCTCCCCACAATGAAATTATTTTAAAACATAACAAGTATATAAAAATACAGTTCAAGAGGACATGAGGTGAAATGCGGAGAAGGCAAGACCGAGGATGAACATCCTATCACCAACAGTTACTTAAATCACGGACTCTGTGTAGAGGATCTGTGCTTAAATAGGCCTCCAAGAAATCAGTCTTACTGAAACAATGCATACCTCAATAGCACTTAAAGTTTTATCACAAATGATGTATTCAAGGTCCAAACAATTATAATTTCATCTCGTCCGTGACTAGCTGTTTTCATAACGTGTCTGAAGTAAACAATCGACAATGCAAACTATGGACACACAATTTGAATTCGCCTTTTAGGCCAACAACGTCGGCCTAATTTACTTATTTTACCCATTTCCTTTTATTTTCTTTCGCCTAGTTTCTAATTCGAATCCGTGGTGGATGGTCGATCTGGGGGAGGAACACTGCATCAGCAAAGTCAACATTCTGAACCGTGGAGACTGCTGCAGTAAGTCATTAACATTAGGCACAGGGAAATCATGTGATAAGGGAATAATGTCAAACCATATACAACATGACCTCGATCATCAAGGTTTGGATTGTACAATAAAGGTTTTTTTCTGAACAGCGGAAAATAATGCTAAACATTTCTTGTAGTACACTATAATTTCATCCATTATTGGCCTATTTTGCGAGATTCTAGATTTATTTATTAACACAACACAACCCAAACAAAATGAAGTTTTTGGAAATTTTATTTGCAGGCGATCGACTGACAGGCGCTGTTGTCCGCGCTGGTGACAGCCCCACTGCTACCGACAACCCGACTTGTAACTCACCGGTCACCGCTGCCCAAGCCCAACCACTCGGTGGTACCATCGTGTTTGATTGCTCTTCGCCGTTGAGGGCGCGCTACATCAGCGTGGACATCCCCGGTACGGCAACCTTGCAACTTTGCGAGGTCACTGTGGAGGAAGTCGCCCTTGACCAATGCGCAAGTGAGTTTCATCAATAGACGAAGTGTTTTTTTCCAGAGTTGCTGAACCTGAGGGACCAGTGACCTGAGTGACTGACAGTGATTCAGTATCCTAAAAACTTTTTTATTGTCGGATTCCTAAAATTAGAAGCCTGGGTCCAGCTGTACAATATAGTTAGCCTAGTCTTGTAAGCAACATTGTAATTGTTATCCAGTTACTTCAAATTCAGCTTCTTACAACTATTTATAATGTCGTGTATTTATTTTGGTTCACCAAAGGTATTTGGCGAATCAACCAATAAAGATACATGAACGGTATCGCGTCCCGTTGGAAATTCGAACCTTTTTTTATGCATGATTGAAACTAGAATATATCAATTTCGTCATTTCAGCTTTTAAATCTTACTAATTTTGTTGGCCCCTTAAATAGCGAAGACGTTCAGTATCGTTAATCAACCAGCCGAACAAAGCTCTACACTACAATCAAGCTTTGCAGCGGGCAAAGCTGTTGACGGTAGCTCATCGACCATTCTGTATCCCGATGGTCATTGCTCACACACAAGTAAGATGAATCCTCGTTTAAAACATTGTCTAATGATTGTCCATTGTCCAGTGTTTATTGGCTCATAAATTTGTATGGAATGTAATAATTTCCACTAAATATCATCTGCGGGTTGATGTGAAAGAGAAAACCACAAAAGATTCCAATCATCAGAACCACACACAGTTATACAAACGAAATTTGACTACATTATGCAGTCGTGATGTTTCCACAAACCTCGCATCTTTAGACTTTAAACCATGCAAGTCTTCAATACTTATCTTCTGTAATTTCGTATATTCCGAGGACACCCTCTTATAAAAAGAAACAGGCACAACAGCGACATCATGTTTCTATAGTAGCTGGAATAACGATAGATGATTTTCTCATTTATTCAGATGAGGAGCAGAATCCCTGGTGGAGGGTCGATCTTGGTGCTGAGCAATGCGTTACCAAGGTAACCATCCTGAACCGCGGAGACTGCTGCAGTAAGTATCTTCACTATGGTCACTTGACGCAAAAGTTGGGATCCTTACAGAGAAATGTGACTCTTAATTATGTTCCTTGGGTATGCATACAACCATGCATTTTTGTGGCTTTACTATAACTCTACTCACAGCTATCTTCCATTCCTCCAGATACATTTATTTGTGTACCGTCCACAAAGGTCATGTTCAATTGTTTTATCATGTGCAATTTCGGAGACTATTTCTTTGTTACAAGATATTAGCAGCGAACGTTAAACATTCAACAAAGTCCGTAAATTTAACATGTAAAGTAACGATCAATAGCAATTTTAATTGATAGTTTGAAATACAATGTAAGTCCTTTTACAAAACAAAAGCACGACAGCTATCATCCTTTCAATTGATATTCCGTTCTTTTAATTTTTTTTTTTAATTTTTTTTTATTCGCCAGTGCATCAATAATTACAAAACAAATGAATTAATATTATGGTCATACAATTCAGAAATGGCAGAAATAAATTATAAATTGGTGACAGAGCGAGAAGGAAAAATTGAGTTACATCAATGGATACCATTTTCTTTGATGGGTAGCTAATTTATCCCTTCTAGTTGCTTTATAAAATTCAAATCTCTCCATCATTCTAACTAGATTCATAAAATGGTTAATTTGAGGAGGCTTCTCTTCATACTTACGTTCTTTTAATTTTATTTACAGGTGAACGTCTGCAGAACGCCATTGTTCGTGCTGGGTCCGACAAGAACGTTGTTGCGAACCAGGCATGCGGGGCACCAATCACCGCCGATCAAGCCCAACCATTGGGCGGTACAATCGCGGTTGAGTGCAGTCTACCGTTGAGGGCGCGCTACGTGAGCGTCGATATTCCGGGCACTGCAGTTCTTCAACTCTGTGAGGTCTACGTTGAAGTGCTGTCTTCCGGACAGTGCTAAGAATATTAACCGTCACCTTGTCACCCGATTTCGAATTAGACCCGTTTAAAAATCACGGCCGATTACGAATTGCATTGCGATTACGAATTCAGCCTGATTATTTTTCATGTTTTTTATTGGTGGATAGGTTCTTCCTTACTAAATTCTAAATAAATATAGGCCTTACAAGGCGTTTTGTTGTGTGCCTAAATGACGTGAAGATGATGTCATACAGAACCAAGTACTTTATTTGTCAACAATATGGTTCAACATGCCTGTAACTTTTCACAAGAAAATCCACATCGGACTACTCCTAAAACGTTTACCAATGATCAGTCATTGGTTGGACGATTGTCTCAGTAATACAATTTGGTTTAATGATTGGACCTTTCTGGAATTTATTTGGAATGTAAAAATAACTGAAAAAAATGATCAGTCAGATTGTTTCTCTACCCTGACCTTAAATGTGACTCGATTTCCACGAATTCAGTTTATGTTTTGTTTCTTTTTTGTTTAGCTAACGTTGCGAGATGAAGACCACATCGCTTATTGGTGGTGGTTAAGGTTTTATTTTCAGCCTTTTATTGCAACTTTTATTTGTATTTTTTTAACGCAGTTTTCATTGCTTTATTACTGCTCTTTAAGTCTTTTTAATATTTTGGTGCATACTCTTTGAGTAATAAAACACGTTTGCATGCATGACATCCCTTCTCTGATTCATCCATTTTGTTTAAAGTGCTGATGTAAATGATAGTAATAATGGAATTATCATACTTTAAACAAAACTTAGTATTTTGCGGTGACCAATATTCATGAAAATAATATCATTGGGATTTATAATCAGTTGCCCGCGGAGATGGAGCTCCATCCAAAGTGTTCAAATTACTTGCCTTCAAGCGTTACTGTGATTATGTCAAGATATCTTTACTGCAAGACAAGTGCACCTTAGTTAAAAAAATATATATAAAATCTGACGAGTGCATTTTGGCATTAATTTGGTACTTGGACCTACTTAGCTATACTGTAAACAAAAAATGCCCATTTTTTTACCCAACGAAGGGCGAATAGTTAACACGTCCAACATTTGGGCAAAATATTGCCCATCCAAATTGGGCACACACAACCAAGTTGCATCACCCAACAACTTGGTAACATTTTGTTCACCCACTTGTTGGGTATTTGATATGCCAGTTGGTGGTTAAAATTTACCTAAACTATGGGTGATTAGTTTAACCAAGAAATGGTAAAAAATACCCAATTTTTACCAACTACTGGGCATGTGTCCAAAAAGATGTCCCAAAGTTGGTCACTTTTTACCCATTTATGTGGTAAAAAAATACTGCCCAACCCCATTGGGAGTTTGCCAAAAACTACAAATGTTTTGCCCATTATTGAGCAAATGTTTTCCCCTTTATTGGGCAAATTATACCATTTGTTAAAACGTTAAAAAAAATGTAAAACAATGACAACAATCTTGATCTCATGATCTTTATCTCTTGTTTTATTGTGTCGCTGAATAAAAATCACATTTTCAAATAAATAGTAAAACCTTTAATAAAATACTTTTTTCGACCACAAAATGATCTTTTCCCCCTAATAAACCAGTCAGTATACATGCATGATTAAAGTATGATTTGGAATACACTTAGTCTAACGATTCTGTTATTGCTGCAAACAATTTACCTCCACAAATTCCTCTTGATAAATGTTTACGATTGAAGTCATCACAGCAGAGTTTGCTTTTAAAGTTTTACTTTGAAGGGACATCGCAAATCGTGAATATTGACAATAAAAATATTAAAATTGAATTATTTAAAAACTAGAGATGAGAAAATATCAGGGATATAATCCATGAATGTTTACAATTGGTTTCCAATGGGGTCCCTATAATTTGCACATATACCGAGGATAAATTCTGAAAAGAAAACTCTGCAGACCCACTAACTCCGGTGATGATGCATGAATGAATATCGAATATAAAAAAAAATGTTGAAAAGTTCCACCTCGAGATCTAAGGTTGACCGGAGTCTGCCCGATGTTCCCAAATACCTATGTTCCCCGAATTCTTTAGGATAAGGCTAGGGGTTAGGGTTAAGGAACATCGGTATTGGAACATAGGTATCCACCCTGGTTGACCCCACAGACAAGGGGGAACTAAAACAATTATTAAAAAATAGATACGGAAAAAGTGAGAAAATACAGAAACAGTCCATAATAATTGTTGATACGGAAAGGCTCATAAGTTACTTTAAAATATGAAAAATTTTGAGAAAATTGGATAAAAATTATCTGCTAATAAAGAATGCTCTTTCCCTAAAGATCACCCTTTCCTGTAAGAGCTTCTTCAGTTCCTTCTTCTTACGGCTTTATTTTGGATTGATTTCAGATGTACTGGCAACGGATTCCACTCTTTGTTGGCATTATAAATAAAAACCATTAGTTGACCAATCAGTGGGCGCTTTCTATATTGGGTCTTCGGTCATTCATCCATTGCGCGTCATAGACAATAGAAAAAAAAAACACGGGTGATGATGTGTCACGCGCTCTGTGTCATGTAACACGATATGCGCCCGGCTGTTTTATTTCAAAACACTGCATTCGAATTGACCAATCAAACCATTTAGTCCTGATCTGGGAATGAAATGACGTCTCGATTTGGTAAAGTCTACTCCGATAGGCTGGCCCGCAGCTTGCATACGTATCTGCATGTCTAGACATACTTTAGTTAGCCTTCCGAGAGTTCTAAGGGGATAACCACCAAGTACCAAGTACATACGTTATACAGGAGACTTGGCTCCGTGGATAACGGGTGATGTAATGAACTGGCAATGAGGTCACTAATGCACGTCTATGCGCCCCGAGGGACTGTCTGCCTGGGCTGGGCAATTCGAGTCTTGACTGATCGGCAAAATATTGACAAAATCGCCTTCCTCTGCAATTATCACTAGTCGAATATCATGGCCGGCTATCGCCAGCGCCACAGACTGGGACAAACTGACCAGCAGATTGAACCACGCAGACTTAACTGCGCTGCGCGCAAAAAGTCCTCCAAATGTTATGTAATTGTGACACCATAAGGGAGGCGGATAGAGGTATTTTTATCTGCAGAACAAATTCATCATGCAGCACAAATGCATCATAATCATCATGATTTTTTCAACCAGTTCGATGTTTATTCATGAGAAAACAATGACGTCACATCATTGCTATCACTCTGTCATTTCAAAGAACGGCTTTTGTTGAGCTGCCACAGTACATTACATCACCCGTTATCCACGGAGCCAAGTCTCCTGTATAACGTATACTTGGTACTTGGTGGTTATCCTCTACGAACTCTCGGAAGGCTAACTAAAATATGTCTAGACATGCAGATACATAATGCAAGCTGCGGGCCAGCCTAACGGAGTAGACTTTACCAAACCGTGACGTCATTTCATTCCCAGATCAGGACTAAATGGTTTGATTGGTCAATTCGAATGCAGTGTTTTGAAATAAAACAGCCGGGCGCATATCGTGTAACATGACACAGAGCGCGTGACACATCATCACACGTGTGTTTTTTTTTATCTATTGTCTATGACGCGCAATGGATGAATGACCGAAGACCCAATATAGAAAGCGCCCACTGATTGGTCAACTAATGTGTTTTTTTTTTTACAATGCCAACAAAGAGTGGAATCCGTTGCCAGTACATCTGAAATCAATCCAAAATAAAGTTGTAAGAAGAAGGAGCTGAAGAAGCATTAGCACAAATGAACATGCTTTTCGGGGTAATTTCGGTACAAAGAATCGATTGAAAGCGTTATTTTTATAATTTGGCTGCCATCTTGGCGGCCATCTTGGATTTTGACGAAAATCGGTTATTTGACGTCACTTTTGAACTAGGCATCATAGGAAGGAAAACGAACACGTGTTTGGGGTAATTTGGGTGTGAGGAATCGATGGAAAGCATTATTTTCATAATGTGTCGGCCATCTTGAATTTCGACAAAAATCGGTTACTTAATAACTTTCGAACTAGGCATCATAGAAAGACAAATTAAGGTGAAGGCTTAAGCTTGTAGTGTCAGCTGGAAATGGTGATAGTGAACTAACAATCCGTAGCATAGTTATAATGTGGTGGTGGATAGTCATGCCAGTATGGTGATGCCGCCCATCCTTGAGTCACTCATTGACTTACTGCAGAAAACTGTTGGGGAAGCGGAGAATCAATAGTGGAAGAGCATCAAGAGATTGATCATGATGAGGTTCTTGAAGATCACGACTAGACGTTGCAATGAAATGTCATTGATTACCACTTCTCTAACTTGTCATGTCGCTCCAGATGCAGTTGTATTACAACAATTTCCTCTTCACTATTGCTTTGTGTACTCATACATATATTTTTGCCCATTACAATTACTGACATAATAGCCTGATCCAATTTTCCATTGGAATCTTACTACAACTACCATTCGTCATGGCTGAGCACACCAAGTCTGAGCTATCACGTCAGTAGATCAATCAATGTCTGTCGCACTTTCTAGTGTGACTGTTAAGACCTAATCTTGAGTGGCAGTCTCTACGTACCACATCGAGTGCAGGTCAAGGATGAGAGCGCCTGAGATGAACCTGCCCGCTTCTTTTGTCTGGCTCCCTTGTCAGTCAGGTCAAAGTCATTTCTAGCATTTTCAGCCCACCTTCCTGTCGTCTGCAGTACGTTCCCAGCTACTGGGGCCTATTCAAGAAGTTTTTAAGTCCCGCTTGCAGATGTCCTTATAGCGGAGATACGGTCACCCTACAGGTCATGTACCTTCAGCAAGTTCTCCATAAAGGAGATCCTTTCAGGAGCCGATCCAAGTCCATTCTTTTGACATGGCACATGCCATCTAAGACGTCTCATGCTGAGCAGAGCAAACGTGCTCGGGACACCAGCACGCTCTAAAACCTGTGGGTCACTCGATCCTGCCAGCTTAGGCAGAGGATGCGTACGTCTGAGGCATCGGAGGTGTAAGCTGTTAGTCTCTTCTCCTGGGCGGCGTAGGTTGTCTAGGCTTCACAGCCGTGTATAAATGAGGACACACGCCTAATACACTTGCATCTTGGTGTGCATAGTCACCGTGATGGACGGTTGTTCCAGACTCTCTTGCTCAGTCTAGTTAGGACAGCTGCGGCTCTGTGTCAAGAAACAATGTGGTGGAGATGGATGAACAAAGGTAGGTAAAAAGGTATCCACCACCTAAAGAACGTGTCCGTTCATGGTGATGGAAGGAGGGCGGACTATGTTCTGGGCGACGATATGTTGGTCTTTTTCAGGCTGATGGTCGACTCAGACTGATTGCTTGGGACAGGCAATCAATGAGCCGCTGGAACTGGGCTTCATTGTGGGACGCCAACGCTGCATCACCGGCAAATAGCAGTTTGCGGATGAGGACCTCGCAAAGTTTTAGAGTGAAGGCGAGCATTGTTAAAAAGCTAGCCGTCAGCTTGAGTATGCAGGTATAGACACCCTTGGGTCAGTCTCCGAAACGTACTGTAGGAGCATTGACAAAAACATACCGAAGAGAATGATCCAACACGCACCCGTTTTATTCAACGTTTCTTTGGGAAGGCTGATGTTGCACCATTGAAGTACATTCTGCTGTGCATGACCTCGTGGAAGGATGTTATCATGCCCATCAGCCTTGGGGGCAGCCGACGTTATGCAGCAGTTTGCAGAGCCCACT